CCCTCCAAGGCGCTACCGCGCCCAAGCCATGGCTCTCGCCGCCTGCAGAGCCCAAACCGTGGCTTCCGTCGCCGGACGATGTCGCGACCCAGGAGATTGATCTCTCGGAGCTCTGTGACCCACCGGCCTCGAAGCGTCGGATCTCAACCCGATCAAGCCGCTGACCTCCAACGCGCACGGCGAGGTGTGGCTGAGCCAATTTGGCGCCGACGTCGTCGTTGTCCAGCGCATCCACGACAAGTCGTCCGAGAGTCTAGCCATGTTTGTTGAAGAAATCTTGCTCCGCGCCACGTACTACCTTTTCGTATCCGCCTTGTAACTTGACGTTTCTCGGCCTAGGATTGAGAGTCCGTATATCGTACAGTTTATCGGCGTCAGCTGGCACCAGCCCCGCGACATGGCGTGCGTGCTCGAATACATGAACCGGGGAAATCTCCAAGACTACTTGGCGCGGCACTCGCCGACAACGTACCCTTGGGCGGCCAAGTTGGAGGCGATCGTCAGCATCGTCCGCGGCCTCATTTACCTCCATACGTTGGACCCGCCAATCATCCACCGCGATCTGCGGTCCCGGAATGTTCTTTTGGACTCGGAAAAGGGCACGAAGATCAACGACTTTGGCTCGTCGCGCGAGACGTCCGAGCAGTCGATGACCAACGGCGTCGGGTCCTACCAATGGGCCGCCCCCGAGCTCCTTCTCGGATCGCTCTACAACACAGCAGTTGACATTTACTCGTTCGGTACGACGTAGTTTTGTTGTTCGGGAAAGGGCTATGCATCGAGGGTAGGGGTGCTACTGACCGAGTTTTCGACCCACCAAGTGCCGTATGTGCGGACGCTGGACCCGTCCACGGGTCGTGTGTACACGCAAGACAAGGTGATGCAGCTCGTCACCAAAGGAGAGCTCGTACCGGACTTTGATTGGGCGCCGATCTGGCTCATTGAGATTGCGCGCTTGTGCATGGCGACCGCGCCCGAGAAGCGCCCGACCGCCCTCGCCGTGGCGGGTCTCCTCGACAAGCACCAATTCGAGGTCATCGAGGCGTGAATCCATGGATAGCTGTCGTAACTGTGGTACAAACGATTCAAAAGGTGCTGCGGTATCTCGTTGATATAAGCCTTGCGTACGCAGACTAGCCATTGAATGAGTTTTTTCGCTCGGTCGTGCCCAGTGTAGTGGGTCGTGCCTGTGATCTAGCGGCGCGAGGCTCGTCTTGCTTCACGTCCGTCGACTGAAAGAGTTTGCGACCCCAGACGGACGCGCGCCGTGATCCTGCACGCTTGAAGATCGAAAGCAATGCAGTGGGGACGATGTCGATCTACACGGCTCATTTCCCTGAGCGCATGGTCCAACAGAGCAATCATTTCTTAAAGACGGTGGTAGTACGTGCACATGACGCTGCCAATGGACGCTCGATCGTGTAGGCCGTCGCTCTGTGCATCAACATCATCTGCTCACAGCATTTTTTGGGTTGTTAACCCTCCCAGACCTAAGAAGCTGTCGATCGCCGCAGCGTCGTACACCATAGAAACAACGTTAACCATGTCGTCCATGGTTGTTTTGTGTGGTGACATCCAGAGTGGGACGCGATGTCGCACCCTGTCAGGTACTACCCTATTCCAGCCATTCAAACGATAGTCGACAGCAAAAACAGTGTACTAAGACGATGATTTGTTCAGGCGCTCGGATGCTGCAGTGTCTTCTTTCGCCGCGCCGCACGCTCGAGCCTTCGGATCTGCTTCAACTGCGCTTCAATCGCCTCTTTTAAACGCGCATTCTCGTGCTGGGAGCGACGCGTGGCACGGATCTCGTCGCGGGCGCGGTGGAACCACGGGTTTGGGTGGTCGCCTTGCGCAGCGTCGGCCGCCAAGAGAGTTTGCAGCTGCGTCTTGAGCGTCTCGCGTTGGGCGAGCAGGTAATCGTGCTCCTCCTTTGCATTCCGGAACGGCTTGGCGGCGGCGGCAGCGACGGGCGATGATGGCGGCGAGAGCGACAGCGCCGCCAACTGCTCCTCGTTCGATGCGTCGTGGCCGAAATGCGCGGGGCTGCCCGTGGGCGTGCCAAAATCCATGGTTGGTGCCAAGAAGGCCGAGAGCGCGGCGACCGAGATGTTACCATCGTCGACCTCGTCGCTGTCGTCGAGCGTCGTCGTATCGAAATGAAAGCTTGGGCGCGCCATGTGAAGGTAGGATGAAGAATGAGATGGAAAATGATAACTGAGCCTCTGCACATTGTATGCTCCACCTTGGCAAATCTCGTCCATGATGATTTTGTTGGTGCTGGACAGTGTCCAACATGCGAGCGTGCTGTAGCTATTAGCTGCGTGTGACCGTGGAGACCGCCGGTTGAGAGTCGGAGCGACAGCTGGTTCGTTGGCTTGGGCACACACTGTCGACCGCACGTTACGTGTACACTCTTGGCCGGACCCCATTGCACTCTATTGCGAATCGCCGTGTGCTAGAGCTATGAATGTACAAAGTGACAATCTGCATCTTTGCAAACTACATGGTTTGCGATTGACCCAGTGGGGGCGAGTGCGACGGCGCGTTGCTATCGTAGGAGATTTGTTGAAGTGGCTGTCCACAGCACAGTACACCACTACACTATTACAGACAAGTCTTGCGTTTTACCTTGATGCCAAAGTCCATGCGAAGCGCAGGTTCACACGTTGGAACGAGAGACAGATGCCGAGTCCGAGGCGTGGCAGTGCCATGTCCAGTATACCGTAGTGGTCAAGAATGTAGGTAAAGAATGGTGGTCATTGTAGCATCATGTGTCCCATGGGGGGAAGTATTTTTAAGTCCGTGTTATCCGGACGATTCCCGTGCCTCGATGAGCGCACTTTAGCGGGTCAAATAACTTGTCGAGAACAGTAAGCCTTACCTCCGCGACGCATGGCCTCCAACTTCGTGGCCAGGCCAAGCTCGGTGCCACTTTAATGTCGGACAATGCCGCTGCTTTCTTGGCAACCGCTGTGGCCCTTGGCATGGTGCATATCCTGTGCACAAAGCACTACACCGACTCGACGATGAATGTGCACGGCGGCATGTCCGAATTGCAACGCAACGGGTTCTTGAAGAAGGCTGGCAGCCTCATCCTTGACGTTTTCTCTGTCACGTCGTTCCACGCGCTGTATGACGCCGTGCTCGATGACGTGAAAGACATTCCCACTGCTGTCGCGTGGCTCCAAGACCTCGACCACAACAAGGAGAAGGTCTGCGCCGCGTACACTGCAAATGTGTTCACGGCCGGCCACGTAGCCCCGCAACGCGGCATCAACTTCTTAAAAAGTTGGGCGTTGAGGGGTTAAGAATCAAGGAAAAGGCATCAAGAGTTCCGAGTTAGCAAAGTTCAACCTCTATCAGCTATTTGCCCACATCACGTCGATCATCACGCGCCAAGAGCTCGAGTCTGACGCCGAGATCGAACGCTACGTCCACAAGGACGTTCGCTGGAGCGCCTACGTCTCGCAGAAGCTGGCCTCGGGAGCGGCGAGAATGACTGAGTACTCCTGCGTTCTTCTCGGCCTGGATGGTGACACAACGCTGTCGTGCACCGAGCGGCACACGACGCTCGGCAAGCACGACATCGTCAAGCACAACGTGCCTTGCTTGAGACAGCGGTCGTCGGTGGTGCGGGCGCGGCAGATGCGATCTGTGTGGGCGCGGGCGTCGCGGGCGCAGTTGTCGCGGTCGATGCGGGCGCGACTGGTGCAGGGTCCACTATTACCTCACACCGTGTGAGCGTGAGCACGACCACCGAAGCCCGTCGGATTACACGCGGCAGCGCCCTCGACGTTTCCCGCGGCTTGCTGACACCGGTCGTTCCCTCCAAGCTTCGCATGGCGTCATCAAGCGCCTCTACGGAGAAGCGAACCAAGCGCGGGTGGACGTCATCAAGCTGCGCGCGGCGTACGCAGTTCCGAAATGCTCCTGGCCAATAAACACGAATTCCGTACTTAAGGTTGAATCGCACTTAACGGGACATCCGGATTTTGTATCACCATACAGCCGCCGGACCGCCGCGGACTTCAAGTCCGCGGACTTGAAAATACACTCCCGTCCCATGGTCTGTCCATGCCGTGGTAGGGGCTCCTATGTCACATGGATCGCTGCCACGAGTAGCATTGAATCGATTTCATAAGCGCACAGCTGGTCCATACCGGTAGTTGATCCCAAGTAGAAAAAATGAGCATGGATCTAGTGACGCAGACACGTACGAGTAGGCAATTTCGACTACCAATATGGTTTTGTACCGACGACTATGTCGATAGAGTACCGGTACTACGGTAGTACAAAGCAAGTTCATATTGGGTCGATGTTTGCCGATATAAGAGCCGAGGTTCGACATATTGTGAAGCTGCATGTCAGCTCTTCGATAACACTGCTATTGCGCTTGAACGCAAACTGAAAATGGGGTATTGTGAAAACCGGCGTTTTTGTCGTCATGAAATCGGGGTCGAATTCGTTGACATTTTTTCCTGCCGCAGCAACAATTCGTTCGGTGGACACCCGCTAATTCGTCCGGATAAGAATCGGCGAGGTGCTAAAACGTCCAAGCGAAATATAATTCAGTGCTAGGAGTAATGACAGTACAAATGTATGCGACGATGTTTCTTTACAATAAAAATTTGTGGGCCAAATGGAATGGCGAAAGCAGTTCACAAATTGTTGGCCCTGAAGCAGCGCAGGTTGAAGAAGCAAGGGGAGAGCGGCCGCGCGACCAAGATCGTTGTTCCTCGGACTCTATGCCCCTCTGCAGGTATCATACGTACGTCTACGATGTAGAGCATGGTTTGCGGTGACAGCGCACCATGCGCGCACATTCGGCGTGTCCAAAGAGACCCAGTCCACGAGAAGCCGATGGTCGTGAGTGGCGCAGGCGGAAAGCCATCGCCCGCGCTTAGACGAGAAGTAGGACGGGCGACGCGTGGCGACGCATTGTATTGCATCGCATTGATCTATTGAAGGGTCATTATCGACACGTATCTGGCATGGACAGGCAGCGGGCTGACAAGCGACACCTGTGAAGCGCTATGAAGCATCTCACAATCATCAGCACGGCACTTCTTGAGGACGCTTCGACACCGGCTTGCGCGTTGGGTCGAGAGGGGAGAGTCGCAGGCAGGACCATCCTGGCGTAGAGGAAACGTGCTCGGTAGCCTCGCAGTGGGACCATGATTCGTCCAGCTAATGGGTCTACCCAAACTCAGTTGCGACTGCAGGTCATGCAGTGCATCGATGCGTTGTAGTGCCGCATAGTCCCGCT